GCCAACCTTTTAATTTAAATAACGTTCTGTAGTAGATACCATTTTCAATGGTACCCATTCGAAGAATATAGTAGGATATTTTCGGACTTATGAACTGACCAATCGGTGTAGCAATGAGAAATAGAGATAATGCCCGTGTTCTTGGTTGTGACGGAAATCAATGTGTTAAATAGGCAATCACACCTGGAAAGAAGCCAGCTTCAGCAAGTCCAAGTAAAAAAATGAAATATTTAATTCTTTACAATAGAGACTTAAATAATATTAATATTCATTCAGAGGCAAAAGAAAGGCTGCCAAAATTAGATGTGCAAAACATAAATTTGGAGCTGTCACTGAGATGTCTTTCAATTCAAATCATTTAGATAACATCTGTGCAAGAGAATAAATACTCGTCCTTCGGTATCTTGGATTGGTATGAAAGTGAATAGTCTGAAACTTTGTTTTTATTTCATAGCAAAATATGCGCCAATCCTTTGTAGCCAATGCCTCTGTATAGTAATTGTTTCGAAATGATGCGGATGCTGCTCGCAATAAACTACTTGAACTATAACTCGACCTCCATCTGAATATGAATTTAGTTCATTCAAATTTACTTAAGAATGATCTGCATAAAGTTCAAAGATAAAAAGTTGAATGTTGTAATGGCAATTGTTCTTTTATCATTCTAGCTATTTTATTTCTGACAAGATTTGTATCATAATAGTTGAATATCAAATAAACAAAAAAAAATAAATGTCCAAAAAAAGAATAGCAGAAATATCAATAGTGATTGTTGTTTGCCGGCCTGGTGCTGGTGTTGGTGTTTCAAGATAAAATAAATCCTGAATGTTCAGTGGTTGCAGTGTATTCAATTTTTCGATATAATCGCAAAACTTTTTGCCTGAATCCACATTATCCAGGTCGAACAGTCCGGCCTGGAAACGGCCGGTTCCGAGTAGTTCCGTTGGTTTTGTGGAAGCAGTATTCCGGTTGGAAATTTTTCCGGTGATTTCCGGTCAATTCCTGCAGGATATGGCGACTTTCCCGCATATTCCCTGGAATATCCTACGGGATCCGGGGGCCGGAATGTTCGACCTGGGTATCATAGCTAAACAGAGGCTTTAACAACGATAGATCTTAGTCATAGGCGGCGGAGCCCTTAGACTAGGAGGGGCTCAGATTTTGGAAAAAAATACAGATTTTATCGTGATTATATGCTTAATAAGTATATATGATTGTATGTTTTTTAAACATCTAGATGTAATATCACTAGCGACTCCTTTATGAAGTTAAAAGGACAATAATCAACGTACAGAAAATACATTTATGGTGTCGATGTGTTTTTATTTGTTATTAGAATTTGTAGCACGTTCTGTATTTTGCTTTTGAAAGATTTTGAAATGATAAACAAACAGTAAGTGTGGTAAGAAAAGATAATGTCGACACCGACATCAAAAAAATACTTTTTGTACTTATAACTTTTTTTATTTGCTTTAGTCAAGATTTAAGATTATTTTTGCTTTTCCTTATATTGATAATGAAATAAAAATTTTGATAGTGTAGCAAAATTTTCAATTGTCCTCAAGGTCTGCAAAAGTGTCAGTGAAGAAAATGCTTTGAATGAAAGTTGTGATAACGAAATTGAAAATTCTGTTTTCTCTCCTAATGTCGACTTTCTATGGTTATTATGAAAAATGTTTTTGAGCCCCCTCCCTAAATTAAAAACGTTCCGTCGTCTATGCTGAAAACTTACTAAAGCTCGAAATATAACCATCCATAATGGCTGCTTGATTGAGACAAATCAATTTTAACAATAGAGCCGTGTACTTCTGCCAATGTTTGAATTACTTCAGCTACTTCTATGAAATTATCAAAAGTAAATAAAAACAGTAAATCTTCAATCACTCACTTTGCCATTGATCATGTTGTGTATTAATGATTTGACCACGAACTAGACTAGAACTATGGCTAAGTTCCTAAAACATCACATACAAGCATTGGTATTGGTTAATGAGGTAGTCCGTCGCTGAATTAGAAAGTCGATAGTCATCACCGATCGTGTACTTCATACACAAAGAGTGAAGATATCCTACGTTATCGAACGAACTCATAGTGTACACCACCAATAGTACTTCTTTTTTTTAAATAATATATGCAGAAGCGATTAGAGATCATTTTGATTGAAATATTTTTTTTCGATACTTCCAATAATGAACGTTATTGAAAAACATGTACCACGTATCCTTGTTCTAGGCTAACGCAAATAGAATTTTTTTCCAGTAAATGACAATCTTCCGATAAGAAATATCAATTTTTGTGTCAATCTTCTGAACATAGATAGTTTCAAAATAAACTATCTCGAAAAACTTACAAAAAAAAATCCTTCATGCTTATTTAGATGAAATTTTTTTACTTCGTATTCCCAAAATTGAAATTTTACCATTTACTATTTGATTTTTTTTTCTATCAACAATAATTAATTTTCAAGGTGTCCTTTTAGTCTTTTCAAGAATAAACCAAAAAAAAGTTTATTCGGAATAAAATAAAATAATCTAATCTATATCGACTACCATGTTATTTTTCATTTCTTTAAAAGCATATTTCAGAATTCACCAGTTTATTTTTTATTAACTAACTATTCATTGTTTAGATTCAAATTTTGCAAAATTAATATCTAAGGAGAATAGATATTTACAAGTTTAGAATATATACATCTCTATGCAGTTTGTATGAACTTATCTGATTATTCTTCAGTTATTTTGAGAAAAATTCTAATAGAATAAAACTACAAAATTGATGCTTATCTACCTGTTCATCATCATCAAGCAAAGCNTCACTGACGTATTTGCAGACCTTGAGAACAATTGAAAATTTTAATTTCATTATCAATATAAGGAAAAGCAAAAATAATCTTAAATCTTGACTAAAGCAAATAAAAAAAGTTATAAGTACAAAAACTATTTTGTTGATGTCGATGTTGACATTATCTTTTTTTTACGACACTTACTGTTTGTTTATCATTTCAAAATCTTTCAAAAGCAAAATACAGAACGTGCTACAAATTCTAATAACAAATAAAGACACATCGACACCATAAATGTATTTTCTGTACGTTGATTGTTGTCCTTTTAACTTCATAAAGGATTCGCTAGTGATATTACATCTAGATGTTTAAAAAACATACAAACATATACTTATTAAGCATATAATCACAATGAAATCTGTATTTTTCTCCAAAATCTGAGCCCCTCCTAGCCTAAGGGCTCCGCCGCCTATGTCATCAAGTAGTTCATGATAAATAAAAGCATGTTATTTTACTAAATGATATGAATGTGAAAATATAAAAATATAATGGTATGCATTTCATTCTAAGGAAGAACGAACTCTTGTCCAGAAAAATTTTCAGATCCGGACCCGATGGGTTCTACATCCATGCGGCTATATTAGTTGCTTATGACGTAATTTTAATTATGCCTAAATCAACGCCATGCCTCACTACATCGAATCGACTAACGGAATAACATGATCCATATTTTACTTTGCCCAAACCAAATTCGGCAGGAGAAATCGAACAAAATTTGTATTAAGATTGAGATCATCGCGCCACAAAAATGTTGGCTTTAAATGCGTACGCGCCGGATTAAATAAATGTTTCTGTTTTGTGTCTCATTAATTATATTCTATAGTGAGCAACATACATTTCATGACCCACGAGCAGGACGAGGAAAATATAATTCTATACATACTGAATCAAAAGAAAGTCCACCAGAACACTATTGAATGCGCATGATATTGGATATGTTTAGCTATTTTCATGTCAATAATTACATAAAATCTTATCGATCAGTGTTGATTTACCTTGGATGCCTTCATAAATAGTTGAAAACGAATTTTTGCAAGTGAATACACTACATAAAGAGGCACCTTGCGATCATTCAGAACCAAATTTTGAAAGCTACTTTTCATACTATTTATTCAAAGAAAATAGTAGCTAATCTTCGAGTTAAGTCCCGAATTAAAGATTTCTTTTCGCTTATTTGCTGGTTAAGGGCATATCAATAAATTTGATAGCAATAAGGCACTTTCAAATAGAACGATGAATACCATTGTTCTATTCAGACTGGCCATGCGGCCAATAATCTATAGTTACATGGCGGTCAGCGGTCACAATAGCCGACGGATGCAACTGTGCAAGTACGAGTTTCGTCCAATTGTTTCTTTTTTCTATGTATATTGATTGTCTTCATCGACTAGCCTGAATATAATGAAAACGCAATAAATAGGCATAGTCGATTGCCACACTCAGCATTCATTGAGATATTCAACACAACACAGTTGACAAGACAAATAACCACGGCAGGTGAGCAGTATGTTTTATATTTTTTTCGGTGTTCCTTTGAGAAATATATGTGTTCTCATTGAATCCAATTCTATAGCAAATATGTACGTTGGAAAAATTATGTCAATACATAGGTATTATATTAATACTTGAATAGCCAAAATCATACGTTTTCAAATATTTCTATCAATAGAACATACTTGTAAGAGAATTATTGTACGTCTTGCAGCGTTTTAAACACAATTCATAAGAGTAGTTCTACTTCTACTAGAGTTTGCGTTTTCTTTTTTTTTTTAATAATTATAATAAAATAGAAATAGATGTCGCTTATGTTAAAGAGTCCTTCTGATTGGTTAGTCGAGTAGCATCATTGCTTTGTTTATAGTTTGACCCGAAGGGTCAGTCAATCAATCAGTCGACCAACAATCTTATATGAATCACATCGCTTATATCTATTTCATTCTTATTTTATTTCTTAGATCGTGCAAAAATGCCATCATATCCAAGTCCAATACCAGCGCCAATATTTGACTCGGATGAATCTGATGAAATCAGTCAACACTCCAATGACAGTAGCAGTTGTTTATCATCACAATTCAAGCAATATACTCGTTTATCATTTTCACCTAAATTAAATTGTAATTCAACAAGTCAAATATTACCATTAACATCAACATTAAGTTTTGATGATGATAACGCATTAGATGGTCAAGATAATATCATTGATATAGAATCAACGCCAACAAAACTTATGAATTCTACAAGTAGAAAACGTAAACGTACAAATGATAATTCTCAACATCTCACATGTCAAACACCCAATCAATCACCATATACACGACGTAAAAATCTTGATTATGTTCAACAAATAACATTTCAATCACCAAAAGTTCAACGTCGGACGCGTAATTTTAATCAATCAACGGTAGATAATCCATCAGTAACATTTTCAACTCTTATCAATATAAATCCATTTAAAAACAAACATCATTATCATACACGTCTTGTTGCTAAACGTGAATCATTACTAATACCATCATTAAAAAATTTATTTATTCAGCGATACGAACAAGAATTTCATTATGAATCATGTTTAGGCTATGGTGAATTTTCACAAGTTAATCTATGTACAAATCGTCTTGATGGTTTAAATTATGCTATAAAAACATCAAAACAATCTCTGATTGGTACATGTCATGAACAACAAGCATGGCATGAAATATGTGCATTTGCAGCATTAACAACGCATGAAAATTTAATTCGTTATTATTCATCATGGATTGAATCCGATGGAAGATTTTTCATTCAATTAGAACATTGTAATGGTGGTTCATTAGAAGATTTAATTGAAAAAAATCGAAAAGACAATAAATTTCTCAATGAAGACGTATTAAAAACTATTCTTCATCAAATGAGCAATGTATTAGCATTTATGCATAGAAATGATTTAGCACATATAGATATTAAACCATCAAATATAATGTTATGTTATTATACAGACAATGATGTTATCTATAAATTAGCTGATTTAGGTCATGTAAGTCAAATCAGTTCATGTACAGTTGATAATGATGGCGATTGTCGTTATTTGGCATTAGAAATCATTCAAAAATCGAATTCAACAAATTTATATCTAGATAAATGTGATATTTACTCATTAGGCTTAACATTATATGTTTGTGCAACAAATTATATTATGCCTAAGCAAGGCAATGAATGGCAACAATTACGATTGAATATTACACAATTTCTACAGCGTATTTCACAATGTTCAAAACAATTTAACGAACTTGTACTTGAACGCATGTGTAATATCGATCCTAATCGACGACCATCTGCCTATGAAGTATGTATCTATTAAATAAAAAAAGTTGTTTTCTAATATTTTTATTTTAGCTATTACTAGATCCACTTGCTCAACCAGCAATACCAACAAGTGTTGAATGTCTTAGGTAAGATATTTTTATCTTCATCAAAAACAAATAAAACTTTATTTTGTTTTCTATTTAGACATACTTTAAAACAAGAACGCGTTAAAAATTTATTACTAAATAAAAAATTACTCGACCAGTATATTTTAACAAACACATCAGATCTTCAAACATTACCATTATATAGTACTGATATTAATAATAGTGATATTCGATCAAATTCTCCAACACAATCAATTCTTGTACCACAATATCAATATACATTAACACCAACTAATAATTCACGTGTAATATTAGTTAATTCACCAGGTTGTTCGACAAATCTCAATCAATCAGTGACATCACCTGTATCTTGTTCAACATTGGCAATGAAACAACAAGTCAAATTAGCCGGTTCAGTTATGTTTCGTTATTATTCCAGTATCATTTAAACAAACAATACCTGCATGATCAATAGCCATATACAAATTGTAAAATATAGATATATATATACATTCATCCATCATCATCATATGGAAACATTTTGTAATTTTCCTTTTCAAACTATGTAATAGTAAATGTGTTTTTTGTACACATATTTTTTTCTTAATCTCATCTCTAACCCTATGAATTCCTAATCTTTGTATATTTTTGATTTTCATTAAAACAAAAGATTTATTGAGTAAAAAAATAATCGTGGATACTATTGTTCATATAAGTTGATTTTCTATTTTCTTTTTGTTAATCATCAATTGATATTTTTGTGTAACCTGTCATGTTGTTGTTTTTTTTTGCCATTCAATTGTGTTTCATTATCCATTGCTATTAGGTCTATATGTTAATGTATGGACTTTCTATTTGTATTTTTCTCGCATTCGGTTACTATTTTTTGTCAAAATATCGATATGATAGTAATATTAATATGGAAAATACTTTTTTTGGAAAGTTGAATGCGAAGCAGAGAGGTAGTAGGAGTGCATTTGTTTTCTTTTTTGATTGTATATCATAGTATATTTGTATTTAAGTAACATTTTTGATTACTTCTTTTATTTAATTAAATGAACTGAACAACAACTTCCTTTTTTTCAGATAACAGCACAAGACAATGGCAAGTTTTAGTTTCTCGTATCTTCATCTGATTTCTATTATTATTTTAATCTATATACTCGTAAAATATGTATTCAACGAAAAACAAATACATCTTATTAAATATATGCTATATGTCGTTTATGTTATGTCGTCATCGATCGTTCTCATGCCACTATTTCTTCTACGGCCATTGCATGCATCAAATATACGTTTAGCTGCACTCTTTCTTAATCCTGTGATGAGTTTGTTTGGCATAAAATATCGTATTGAAAACGCTCAGGTATTAGATAAAGTTGGGCCATGTGTGATTGTTGCAAATCATCAATCATCGATAGATTTTATTGGCATGATGCAACTGTGGCCCAAACATGTTCGTTATTGTACAATTTTAGCAAAAAAAGAGCTATTTTGGGCTTTTCCATTTGGTTTTACGGCATGGTTAGCTGGTTTGGAATATGTTGATCGAAAAAATCGTAAACAAGCCACTGAAACCATGGGTCCTTTGACTAGAAAAGTTCAAAATGAATCATTACGACTATGGGTCTTTCCTGAAGGTAAATACGAAAGTAAAACACAAAATAAATTACAGTCTTTTTGCTTTAATAGGAACACGAAATATGAATGAGACATTTCTTCCATTCAAAACTGGTGCTTTTCGTCTAGCCATTGAAGCACAAGTTCCTATTGTACCAGTTGTCTTTTCATCTTACAAATCTATTTATAATGCGGATACAGCAACTAACAGTTTTTATTGGCGTCGAGGTTATGTAACCATTCGATGTCTTGAACCCATTGATACTAAAGGTATGACGATTGAGAATGATCTTAAAACATTAATTGGTAATACTGAAAAAGTTATGATTAATGCATATAAAAGAATTCGAACGACTCCGAATGATAAAAAAGAGAACTAGTAAATATATTAGCGAATCTGGGAATGCTTCCATGTATTTGTTGAAGTCATAACAAGTCAATCAAACCATGAACAATTTTGTTTTTCGTCTCCGTTTTATCTGTCTATTTGTGTGCTTTTTCTCGTTGTAAAAAAAACAAGTATTCCAATAATTCGTCTTGCATTAATTTGTGTGTATCTTAATTGTGTAATTCATTGAGTCCTAATTCAATAGCAACAAATCATTTTTTATTTTTATCCTCGATAATCATATTATATAAATAAAATACATACATATTATTAACAAAAAAAAAAATATGTTTTTCAATTCTTGTCATCTATATTAATTTTTCTTCAAAAAAGCATTTCCATGATGATGTTGTTTGTTGCCGATTTTCATTTGCAATAGAAGAGCAACTATATATATATATTGAACTCTCCATTGTTTAGAATGTTTGAATGAACGCCTCAAATATTAAGCTACAAGTTAGAAATGTTCTGTATGATATAAAAACAGGATTGAAAAAAAATCTTTTCGAGTATCAAATTCGATTCGTTTTTTGTTAATATTATATTAATATACAAACTAATCATGAAATGAAAATCATTGAAATTAATCTCAATCATCGCTAATAAAATCAGGCCTTACTTAGAGCGGTATGTTTTCTTTCCTGATTTCGGAAAGCCGTGCTTTTGAATTCAAATTATAGACTTATAACTAGGAAAAAATTTTCCTTCCAAATTGAAATGGATACGTTGTTGTGCATTTTCGAATTCGTCTTTAGGTATTCGCGATTTTATAGCGGTAAAATGGTATAGTTTTATTCTGTTACAAAAATAGAGATGACTATAACGAATTCGATGTGGCCGAAGCTTTAAATTTTCCAGCACATGGACCAGGAATCATCTTGGTGTCCGTGGCACACGAACTGGTCTCTATCAGGTTCATTCGGTGTTACATGTTGCATGTACGTTGTGTGAGCCTTGAAATCGCTGCGGCTCCACCCAAGTTGTGGGCTAAGAGATCCCTCACACACACCCTCATAGATTTTCATACTTCACTCAATGTGTAGCGTCACCTACTTAAATTTAACGTCGATTAGTAAATAATTCATCCATAGTCATGACAGTTCGATTGAATTTGATAGGATCTAAGGATTCCAAGGTATTCAAGAAGAATCGTAGTTACTTGAAACTCATTATTATTATGATGTGACCTAGATTTTTCATCACAAACGTCATTTATGAGTCACGGATAACAAAACAAAAATTGTGTAACATCCTTATTTTATTATGCAATATGGTTTGTATTGATCCAACGAAAACACTGTGATACATTTGTATTACAGGAAATTGAAATAGACGGCAGTAACATCAATAAGTTTTTAGATGAGTAAAAAAGAAAGAAAAGCTCGTTCATTGGTGAAAACCAGTGAACCAACAGCGTCTGCGCAAGAATCTAATACTGAAAACAGGTAATCTATTTCTATGAAAATTCTCATCTGATCTACTGAAAGAACAGTTAATCTTTTTTTATTGTAAAGATCATCAGCGTCTGCATTGACAACATCTTCATCCATTATCAAAGGTGTATGCGATGATAGTTTACTTAATGGAACATGTGAAAATATAAATTGCAATCTGTTACATCTCAATGAATCCATACAACTTACTGATGGTCATTTTCACGACCGCCTATTACCAGAAAATTGGTCATGCGCTATTGAACCATTGAAAAATATTGAACAGTTCATCGGTATTACTAATGTCCACAAATCATCGATGTGGAATAATACCGTTTCAATCGTACCAGAATCTCTCAAATCTAAAGTATGTTACCAGTTCTATTTTATAAATGTGCTGATATACTTTCAATAAGAATTTTATGTTAAAGATTCGACTGTATGAAGCATATGGTATTCATCCACGCTATTTGGATACTGATCCACATAATGATTTACTCGAGCTTCGTAATCTGATACAAACACGTCCTATGGTAGCTGTAGGCGAATGTGGTCTTGATGTACTTAATAGTGGACAATTATCATTACAAACTGAAATATTTACATCGCAAATCGAATTAGCTAATGAATTTCATCTACCACTTATTATTCATTGTCGCCAATTGGACCAGCAACTATTTGATATTCTTAAAAGAACTGCGTTAGATTCATCAATGAAAATTCAGTGGCATTGTTGTCATTCGAAAGGTGCATCTGTTTATCGTGAATTTCTCGATTATTTCCCATCGAGTTTATTAAGTATTGGTGGTATGTGTTGTCATTCAGGTGAAAAAAGTATACAAAAATTAGTAAGAGAACTGTTTGAATCGGAAACGAATGAAAATCAACGAAGATTTGTATTTGAAACGGACTCGCCTTATCTAAAATCTTCATCATTGTTGATTAATACAGACAACAATTGTCCAATATTAGGCACTTTAACAGCAAGTGCTTATGTAACAAGAAACATTTTAAAAAATGATCAATGGACAGAAAATTTAAAATTAAATACAAATAGGCTTCAGCAATTTTTTAATTTGAAATAAATTTTCATTTTATTCTTCACAATGTTACGCTAATAAATATTTCTACCTATTGGATAATGACACGGGGATTTTTGTAGTCATGTGATTGAAGCTAACATTAATTTATAGCGTCTAGAGATTCGTCATGTGTCTATTTTTTCAAAGGTGCATCGATTTCAACACGCTCTAAATTCTTTTTACACTCGTCGTCAATGTAAAAATAAAATACAATCATTGATATGATGCATGCCACAGATTTAATTGATTTAAAATGATTCCTATAGATGAATTAAAAGTGCATTCACAAACAAAATAGAGTTTTGATGAGAAAAAAAACAACCAGTATCGAAAATAATGATACTAATAGATGTTTGGACAATTGCTCCAGTTTCGTTGCCAATACTTTCCGTTTGTGACCCACACATCGTCTCCTGTTATTTCATGTTTAACGAGATGAAACCATCTAAGAAAAAGAAAAAAAGACCTCACAGTAATAAAATAATCAATACATCTACCTTGGTTGCCATTCTTCTCGACGCTTTTCCATGGCTCGTCTAGCAGCACGTTGTTTTTCTTCTAAACGAGTCTTTTCGTCTCCAGCTAAATCGATATTACCCTCTTCCATTTTACGAATATCAGGACGAAACCGTGAATCTGTTGGTGCTAATGGTGGACGTAGCTTTATACCTTCTTCTGACCATTCATTAAGTGCCATAGTAAATAATGAAAAATTGTAGTACTATTTAAAAAAAAATGCATATACATATTCATATCTATCATCAAATTAAGTCTTTACTTGAGCTCCGTGCTCTAATTTTGGTATAATTCTCCATAGTGTTGTAGAATTAGGAGGAAGATTAAGTTGTTCATGAGCTGGATCTACGTCTGGTACGTCTTCGTCTGCATCCTCACTATCTGCTGATAATGATGATGCTGCTGCTGTTGCCGCCAAATTCGCTGCCGGTTCCTGTTGATGTTTTAGTGCGTGTTTGGCTTCTTTTCTCTGCTCTTTTAAAAATGATTCAAACACTACGATATCAATAGAAAATAATCCAACTGTCCAAAAGCCATATAAACCACGTAGTTTATGTTTACTAAACATAAACATAAAAATCAACTACATTTAATATCATCAACAACACAAAACATCACTTACCGCGAATCAATAATAGTACCTTCAACTTTATGTAATTCTTTTGTCGTTCTTGAAAACGGTTTAAAATTTAATACGGCTTTCATTTTATTCGCATGATTCTCGATTTCCATAGTACCATGCTACGTATGATAGTCAAGATGCATATTTCTTAAACTAATTATCGAATAAACTTACATATTCAAACCATAGTCGACCAACAAGTACATTATGAATTGTACAGGTAAGACTGGACCACGTGTAAACTTCTTTATGCCTTTAATAAAACAAAATAAAAACTAAAGATTTTCTAAAACTTAGACTCGACACGTGTTTTATTCCGTTTTTACCGTTTGAGTTCCAGCGATAGCAATCCTTTTGGCTTTACAACCATGTTTCTGACAGAAAATGTAGCTTTTGGTAAAATGCTGCCGTAGTATCTCCATCGCCCACTACCATCTTTTGGCTCACACGAAAATGCACTCACAGGTGGATGATGACTAACTTGTTCACTTACATAACGAAATGGTAAATCATCACTATTTGTCATACAAGAAAACAAGAAATGATAGATATATAAATTAGTAGCTTACTAACCGAACGAATTCATATGTTTCACCCAGTAGTGGATTGAATGGTTTCGATAAACGATCAAGATTACTTGAAATTGATGATACAGCGAAAGCAGCAACATACTTAAAAAAATAAAAGAATATGTTTCGGCCTTTATTAAAATATTCATAAACATCTGAATTTTCTATAACATCGTCGCTATTTCTATTTGTTCTTCTGGCAATTCAAACTACCTGCATTCGCATAACTGGATCATTACATTCATCGGCCATATCAAGTAAATATGTATAAAGAACATTTTCAGCGAAACGTTGTAAAAATGAAACAGGTTCATTCCAAGCGATTGGCATTGCTATTTTAGATAATTCCTAAAATTGGAAAAATTATTTTCAATCAATTTGTTCGTTTTTCTGATGAAATTTACTTTTCCGATGCATTGTTTGAGGATAGTTTTAATACTTAATTGTGATCGATCAAGCATTGGCACAGGAAGTTTTGTTCTAAATTACAATGTCAATAACTAATAGCTTTTAAGAAATCTATTCCTATTGAAATTATCAACTTCGAATAATAGTTTCTTTTAGAGAAAGTGTTTTTGTGTAAATATTTTTTAGTTTTTATATGAATGAATTGATTTTTTTAGTTCCTCAAATTTTCGCAATATTCACAGAGTAAAAATCTCCCAGTCTGAACTCTCCTCATGATAATCATGAGTCCTGTGGGTTTGAGAAAGTTCCCTTGTGAGATTCGACAGAGTGAATTATCGATTTGTTGTTATTGTATTTTTCGACTGATATAAAACCTTGAACATTATTATACTTAATGTGCAATAGTTATGCAATTTAGATAAAATAATTTGTATATCTTCAAGAAATTTGCTCATCGACAAATAGAAAACCAATATAGCTGAGAAATTATCTTTTACTTTAATTCAACATCATCAAGTAACATACCTTCCAGCATTTTTTTGTAAATTTGCATATAACTCCTCCGAATACGACATATCGATCAAAAAATAATAGATAAATTAAGTTTTGAAGGAAAACGTGTATCTTTTTTAGAAATGTATCTAATGTAATGATTGATCATACATTAGTAACTACGTGCTATATATGAATCGATACACATGGGAAAGATACTTGCTTCTATTGGTTATTTCAAGTGTACAAAAAAAAACGAAAAGATAAATTATACTGCAAGGCACGATACTAATACATGACTTATGTGTTCATTCATCCGAATAAAGAATGCTTAAGTATATATGAATATACATCGTTTCGTACTTTGTTGTCTTTTTATATTGAAACATAAAAAAAATCAAAAAAGATACTGAAGAAGAGAAACATACTTAGCGTATGTATGTTTTTCGAGAGGTGACATTAGAAGTTTTTAAAAATCTTAATCTCTTTTTTCATTTTACATTGCAAAATTCTCGTAGGAAAATATATTGGAAGGCAAATAAACGGGTTCAGAAAGGTATTTGCGTTTATTAAATTTTCTTTTGAAATTAATTTTTGAAAACTTTTGTTATTTGTCACTCGTCGCTGTTCCAACTGATTATTAGTCAAGTTATTATCGTGGAGACCGAATAGCTGCGAAATTTTGTTTGCGGAAGAATGTTATACTTGAGAATGTAAATTACTGTGAGTGTGAATGTCAGTAGGGACTGTTACTATTATTTATCTGATGGATATCGCCTCGTTGTTGTCATATATAAAAGGGTCGATTGAAGATTTCCCTTTCATTTTTCTGCTTCGGCGTTTTTGATGCTATCTTCTCTGTGCTTGTCCCTATGTTTTGCTCGTTACTACCAGGCATATAAAGACTAGAAAAGTTCATGGCAATATGATAATGTTGTAATGTGACTGAGAAAAATTTTCGTGTGCGAGTCTTGCCTTCTAGCAAAACCGTATTTTCTCGATATATGATGGCTTCAAAAAAATAAAAATGTATTTGAGTTTTTTGTCTTAGGTTGATTGTTGTTATTTGAATTCTTTTTCATAAATGAAAGTGACATATTGTGCAGGTGGGAAATTGTGATGGGCTTTCAACTTCAGTTATGCATCTGATGCATGGTCTGTGGCTGTGTGCATGGCTCGATTTTCAGATTTCAAATAAATGGCGTTGTTAAAAACCAAAGTTCTCAAAATACTTTTAGGAGCAAATATATTTCTTATCAGCCTGGTAGTTAGTACATTATCTCATATATATAAGGTGCAAGCAATTCAAATTTCGAGTGAAATTTATTTTTCGTCTTTTTTTACATGACTTGATGATTAGATGCGTTCCGAGAATATCCCCGGAAACTCGATTAAGTGCTAGGGAACAAAACGTAGCAGATATAACAGATATAGAGATATATAGGTTATAGGGGGTCTTGTAGTCTAGGGGGAATCAGAGTTATAGTAGATATAGGAGGCAGGAGCGTAAATAGGGG